CAAGAGAATCGACTCAGTTATGTTAAGGCTAATCCTTCATTTTGGCATGATCCAAATAACGATACATAAACGTAATGCTATTTCATAAGTATTTCTACTCTTAGCAGTTAAGGATGTCTACGTTATTCATTCCTGTAAAGCGATATTCAAGCATGTCTAAGTATGTTTCTAGTTCCCTGTTGAGGTATTTGATAAAGATGTTAATGTTTTTAATATAGTGATGCATGCATCTTCATGCATTTACCACCGTGCTACGGCCGGTCGGGCAGTTACCAGTGTTTGGGCAGTTATGTATCATTATTTACCACCGGTTGTGCAGTCACGCATATTCATTTACCATCGAGCTACGACCGGTTGGGCAGTTACACATTTACCATCGAGCTACGGTCGGTTGGGCAGATATGCATATTCATTTACCACCGTGCTACGGCCGGTTGGACAGTTATATATTTACCACCGAGCTACGGCCGGTTGGACAGTCATGCATTTACCACCGTGCGAAGGCCGGTCGGGCAGTTACCACTGATCAGTTGGGCAGTCATGCATCATACGATATGGATAATAGAAATAGTCTCAAAGAGAAGCATTATATATGTAAGTATAATAAATATGCATATACGGCGGCACTCCAGAGATTCATATTGATTCTGATATGTCTTTAATTAATGTTGACTTATTGTTATGTTTCAGTTCTGCCTTACATACTCAGTACATTATTCGTACTGACGTCCTTTTGTTGGGGACGCTGGATTCATGCCTGCAGGTATATAATCAGTTTGACGAGCCCTCATATTAGACGAGATTGACATTCAACGAAGGATCGGTAAGACTCCACCTCATTCGGAGTGCAGCCGAGTCTATAAGTCATTGTGTCAGAGTTTTGCTACAGACTTATGAGTAAGCCGGTACCCTGTCCCATTTGATGTCAAATAATCTTAGAGCCTTTGTAGACAGAGGTTCATTTTGTACAGTATGTCAGAGGCCTTGACGGCCCATATGTATTAATGTTTAAAGAAAAATGGTTAAGTGATATAGTGTTTTTCACATACAGTTATACATTATGAGTCATGGCCATGTGGGCCCATGATAGTTATGAAAGGAATGAGTTCAGTTAACTCGACTTATGTATATTTTAGTTTTGGTCGAATGATCATGAGTTACAGAGTGGTTCGCTCGGGCCAGTACGGCACCGGGTGCCAGCCACGCCTCCCCAGGTTTGGGGTGTGGCAAGACAGATTTGAATCGATTGAATAAAATGGTAGATTATGTCTTTGCATACAATGTTGCATCTAGTATTATGCAAGATAATGAGGATCTTGAACCTCAATCTATTGGAGAATGTTGGCAAAGACGTGATTGGCCTAAATGCCAAGAAGCAATCCAATCTGAGTTGGATTCACTTGCGAAACGTGAAGTTTTTGGGTCTGTAGTCCAAACACCTAATCGTGTTAAACCTGCTGGCTATAAATGAGTCTTTGTACGTAAAAGGAATGAGAAAAATAAGGTACAAAGATATAAGGCACGCCTTGTTGCACAAGAATTTTCACAAAGGCCTAGTGTTGATTATGAAGAGACGTATTCTCCTGTTATGGATGCTATAACGTTATGTTATCTCATTAGTCTTGTTGTCTATGAAAAGCTTGACATGCATTTAATGGATGTGGTTACAGCCTATCTTTATGGCTCACTTAATTATGAGATATACATGAAAATTTTCGAGGGATTTAAAATGCCTGACGCACATAATTCAAAGTCCCGGAAAATATTTTCAATCAAATTGCAAAGATCTTTGTATGGTCTAAAGCAATCAGGAAGAATGTGGTATAACCGCCTTAATGAGTATTTATTAAAGGAAGGTTATATAAATGATGTCATTTGTCCTTGTATTTTTATAAAGAAAACAACATCAGAGTTTGTTGTACTTGCTGTATATGTTGTGATGACATAAACCTTATTAGAACTCCTACAAAACTCCAAAAGGCAATTGATTATTTAAAGAAAAAATTCGAGATGAAAGATCTCGAAAAGACAAAATTATGTCTTGGTTTACAAATTGAACATTTCGCAAACGGGACATTAGTTCATCAATCTGCCTACATAGAAAATGTATTGAAACGGGTTTACATGGGTGGAGCACATCCATTAAGTACTTCGATGATTGTTCGATTACTTGATGTGAATAAGGACCTGTTCCGACCTTAAGAAAAGAATGAAGAACTTTTTGGTCCTGAATTACTATATCTTAGTGCAATTGGCGCACTAATATATCTTGCTAACACTACAAGGCCTGACATAACGTTTTTAGTTAATGTCTTAGCAAGATATAGCTCTGCTCCTACAATGAGACATTGAAATGGAATTAAACACATATTACGATATCTAAAAGGGACTACCGATATAGGCTTATTTTATGATAATGATTGCAGTCCCGATCTTGTTGGTTATGCCGATGCTAGGTATTTATCTGACTTACACAAGGCTCGATCTCAAACGGGCTATGTGTTTACATGTAGAGGCACTACAATATCTTGGCGATCGACCAAGCAATCAATCGTGACTACTTTATCTAATCATACTAATATAATTGATATTCATGAAGCAAGTCGAGAATGTGTATGGTTGAAGTCTATAATATACCTTATTCGAGACAAATGTGGTTTGAAGTATGATAAACTACCCACAATTTTGTATGAAGACAATGTAGCATGCATAACCCAATTGAAGGGAGGATTCATAAAAGGAGATAGGACAAAGCACATTTCACCAAAGTTATTTTTCACACATGATCTTCAAAAGAATGGTGATATCAATGTGCAACAGATCCGTTCAAGTGATAATATGGCTGATTTGTTCATCAAATCTCTACCGACGTCAACCTTCAAGAAACTATTGTACAAGATTGGGATGCGAAGGCTCAAGGATGTGAATTAATGCTCTCATCAGGGGGAGTTAATATGCGGTGTACTCTTTTTCCCTTACAAGGTTTTGTCCCACTAAGTTTTCCTTGCAAGGTTTTTAATAAGGCAACCAAAAAATGTATTTCTAAACATGTGTACTTTTTTTCCTTCACTAGAATTTTTTTTTCTAATAAGGTTTTAACGATGCACATTATCTATGGACATCCAAGGGGGAGTGTTATAAGAAATATTAAATTATGGTGGATATTTATTCTTCATCCATGATCTTCGTCTCAAATGCTTAATAACATATTCAATGACATTTTTTCTTCACTTTTCATGCATATATAAAGGCCTTGTAATAGATAGGAAAATACACACAATTGAAGAAGAAATAAAATCTCTTCCTTCTCTCTATCTCATTTTTTGTTCATGTTTTACTAAATTGCTTTTATTTCATAACAACCTCAATTTTTTTTCCTAAGTATTTGTACGAGGATTATTCAAATGGTCACGAATTACAATTTAGAGTGTACTATTATTATTTCGAATATCACTAACCTTATTGTATTATTGTTACTGCTACGAATTAATGGTTTTCTACTCTCTGACTTTGTAAAAATATATGTAGTAATATTGACTCTAGAAAATTTGTAATATCATTTTAACACCAAGAATAGTGGAAATGATGAAAAAATCAGAATCTTAGCCTTTTGTCCATAGATAATATTTGAAAAGATTCAAATGTTTGATTTACAATTTTATCCATATTTCAACTTTAACTTGAAATAAAAAACATGAAGTTTAAAAAATTGATTTGAGAAGTATTCAAGTACGATAAAGACATTTACTCACAAACTTTAACTTTTTTCTCAAGTAAAATTTAAATTTAAACAAATTAAAGATTAATTTAAACTTCATTTTTTTGCTTTTCAAACTTTAATAATTTATAGTCCGAATACCCTTAATGGTAGAGTAAGAAAACAAGAAAAGCACATGGAAAAACTTATTGGTATGTCAAAATTGAAAACTGTTTAATGATCTATAATAGTATATTATAAATTAATTATCCCTTCACTGTATATATAACGGGTCAATTGGTTTTTTGGCTTTTTACAAACTTGTTTTTAGTTTTATGACCCTATCTTTTTTTACACATGAAAGATTTACTTTTACACGTAAGAGATCTAAAAAAAAATATTTTCTTAAATTCAACGTTGCAAAAGGACCTACAGGCCTAAAACCTCATATATATA